TTGGCTGCAGTGATCATAAAATGGTAGACTTCAAGATCCTTACAGCAGCAAAGGGGGTGTGCAGGAGGCTGTCCAGCCTGGACTTCAGGAGAGCAGAGTCTTGCCTCTTCAGGGATCTGCTTGGCAGGGTACCATGGGATAAAACTGGAGGGGAGAGGGGCCCAAGTTCAAGCTCCAACAGGGTAGGTTTAGACTGAACATTAGGAAAGAATTTTTCACAGAAAGAGTGGGTATTGAAATAGGCTGCCCAGGGAGGTGGTTGAGTCACCATCCCTGGATGTGTTTAAGAGCTGTTTAGATGTGGTGTTGGGGGATATGGTGTAGGGGAGAACTTTGTAGAGTGAGGTAGATGGTTGGACTCAATGATTCCAAGGATCTCTTCCAACCTAGATGATTCTATGATTCTAAGGAAGCTAGGTAATATTCAAGGATCACCTCCTCCAAGCTCAGGAGCAGTGTATCCTAACAATGAAGAAGTCAGGTCAAAAGCCAGGAGGCTTGCATGGTTGATCAAGTTGCCCCTGGACATGCTCAAAAGCAAAAAGAAAGCCTACAGAGAGTGGAAGCAAGGACAGGTAGGCAGAGAAATTGAGTGGCCAGGGATCAGGTTAGGAAAGCTAAGCCCTGATAAAATTAAATCTGGCCAGAGACAAGAAAAACTTCTACAAGTATGTCAATGATAAAAGGAAGACTAGGGAAAATGTGAGCTCTCTACAGAAGGAAACAAGACCTGGTCACCCAGGATATGGGGAAGACTGAGGTACTCAATGACTTTTTTGCCTCAGTCTTCACCAGCAAGGGTTCTAACCACATCATGGAAATAGAGAAGGCAAAGGCAAGGGCTGGAATGAGGAACTGCCCACTGTAGGTGAAGATCAAGTATGACACCATCTGAGGAACCTGAAGGTACACAAGTCCATGGGATCTGATTAAATTTATCTGCGGATATGGGTTATGGTGTATGAAGTTGCCAAGCTACTTTCCACTATATTTGTAAAGTCATGACAGTCTGGCAAAGTTCCCACTGACTAGAAAAGAGGAAACATAACCCCCATTTTTTAAAAAGGTAAAAAGGAAGACCCAGGGAACTACAGGCTGGTCAGTCCCACCTCTGTGCCTGGCAAGATCATGGAGCAAATCCTCCTGGAATTTCTGCTAAGGCACATTGAAAATAAGAAGGTGATCAGTGACAGACAATATGGCTTCACCAAGGGCAAGTTGTACCTGACAAATGTGGTGGCATTCTGCAGCAGCGTTACAGCATTGGTGTGTAAGGGAAGAGTAACTGATGTTACTTACCTGGACTTGCGCAAAGCATTTGACATTGTCCTGCACGACATCCTTGTCTCTAAATTGGGTGAGACATGGGTTGGATGGATGGACCACTTGCTGCATAAGGAATTGGCTGGATGGTTGCACTCAAAGAGCTGCAGTCAACAGATGTCCAAGTGGAAGCCAGTGATGAGTGGCATTCCTCGGGTCAGTACTGGGACTGGTACAATTTGGCATCTTTGTTGGCAACGTGGATGTTGGGATTGAGTGCACTATAAGCAAGTCCACTGATGACAACAAGCTGTGTGGAGCAGACAACATGCTGAAGGGAAGGGATTCCATCCAGAGGGACCTGGACAGGCTTGAGAAGTGGGCCTATGCAAACCTCATGAAGTTCAACCAGGCCAAGTGCAAGGTCCTACACCTGGGTCATGGCAATTCCAAGCACAAATACAGGCTGGGTGGAGAATGGATTGAGAGCAGGTCTGAGGAGAAGGACTTGGAGGTGTTGGTTGATGAGAAGCTCAACATGACCCAGCAATGTGTGCTGGCAGCCCAGAAAGGCAGCAGCATCCTGGGCTGTATCAAAAGAAGCGTGGCCAGCAGGCTGAGGGAAGTGATTCTGTCCCTCTACTCTGCTCTGGTGAAAACCTACCTGGAGTACTGTGTCCAGCTATGGGGTCCTCAGCACAAGAAGGACATGGACCTGTTGGTCTGAGTCCAAAGGAGGGTATGAAGATGATCAGAGGGCTGGAGCACCTCTCCTCTGAAGATAGGGTGAGAGAATTGGGGTTGTTCAGCCTGGAGAAGAGAAGGCTCTGGGAAGACCTTATAGCAGCCTTCCAGTATCTGAAGGGGGCCTACAGGTAAGCTGGAGAGGGACCTTTAACAAGGGCATGTAGTGATAGGATGAGGTATAATGGCTTCAAACACTATGAGAGCAAGTTTAGATCAGATATCAGGAAGAAATTTTTCACTCTGAGGGCAATGAAGCACTGGAACAGGTTGCCCAGAGAAGCTGTGGCTGAGGGAACTTGGAACATCCCTGGAAGTGTTCAAGGCCAGGCTGGATGGGGCTTTGAGCAACCTGGTCTAGTGGGAGGTGTCCCTGTCCATGGCAGGGGGGTTGGAGCTAGGTGATCTTTAAGGTCCCTTCTAACCAAAACCATTCTGTGATGCTATGATAACAGTATTTGAACATCAGTATTTCTATGTATACAAACCTAGAAGGGTAGTATTTCTGTAGAAATCTTCAAAGAACTTCTTCTCATTTGTTTCTACGGCAATTTCATTTTTCTATTGATAAGCACCTACAGCTTTGAAGCCACACTCTGGCCATTGGATTTAATGGAGTTAATCTGCTACAAAACAGAATATGAAGATGTAGTAACTTGTAATAAAGCACATTATTTCAAGAGAGTAACCTAAAATAAAGCTTTAGTATACCGTATTTTAAAATACAATAATGAATTATCTAGACAAACATTACAACAGACAATCTTACTTGTATGACAGAAGGCAAAAGCCAAATAGATATCCGAAGATACTAAAAACACTTTCTGGAAAACTTGTAAAATACTCAAACTTTTGCAAAATTAAAAGATTTTTTCCCTTAGATTTCCTGCTTGCTACCCTCCAGCTTGATAATGTGGTATTTACACAACGAGGAGTTGGTGAGAGAATTGCAAGCTCTTCTTTGATGCACGTACCTGGTTTGGGCTGACAGCTCTACAGGGAAGGGTTCTGGATGGCTGGAGCCTCCTACTGTCATTTGTGGAGTATATTTATTTTTTACCACCATTTACTTCAGCTTATCCTTCACTTAGATTTTCAGCACATTTTCCCCTGATGGCCCATGACAATCTTTGTGCATTTGCCCCCTTTTTCTTTAAAAAGGTGTCAGGGACTGTAGATCAGAAATTCTTCCTTCAGAAAATCTTAGTTCACTGTAGTAGCCTTGGGAATAATTTATCCCTGCTACAGGGGAGTTAAGTGTTTTATTTATATTTGTTAGGTAGAGAAATATGAGTACTGCTTAAACAAGTTTTAAAAAAACAAATAAACAGGTAAGGTGGGTCACAATATCTCCAGAAGGACAAGAAAAAAATGAATAGTGTCACTTCCAGCAGATGTAGTTGGAACAGAAGACAGATATCAGCACTTTAATAGGATTGGGTTGCTACCCATCTCCTGTACGTCTACATGGACATTCTGCTTTTCCACCAAAATCTTGAGTCCATAATATTTTGGGTTCTCATATTCTTTATCAAATACAGCAGCTCAACATTAAGGTAAGGGTTTTTTTTGACTTTTCTCTGTAAAGAAAATAGTCCATACAACAGTTTGGTGCAATTTTGTATGCCATTTAAACATCACATATATACTGTTCCAGCTTGTTTGTAAGAGGAAAAAGCAGGTCATGGGTTTTCTGCATGCAAGAGCAATCACAGTTGCTCAGTATCTGGAAACATGGGAATGTATGAGGATATTGGCAATTATCATTTCCCAAAGCATTTATTTTTACTTCGAGGCTTTTTCTTTGATTTCCATGGCAAAGCCTTTCCTGCAGCTCTAAGAACAAACTGTCTTCCAGAGCCCCACTGTGTATTTCAGCAAGTTCTGCATGCTGAGTGAAGACATCCCAGTGGTTAAAGGCTGTCAATGCAAAACTTGTCAGAAGTAACTAAACAGCAAATATAAAATAATTACTGTAAGTAGCTATACTAGCATGTCAAAAAAAAAAAAAAAAAAGCTGATAGAAGCAAAGAAAAATTCAGGGGGCAAATTAAAAAAGTGCAACTTCTGGGGAAAAATGAGAATACCTTTCATAGAGATGATGTTTTAAACAAGAATGCCAATATACTGAATCACAAATGAGCTTTCAAAGGAAAAAAGAATCTTTCTGGGAAAAAGTTTTCAACAAAAGATTTTTCTGTATTTATTTAATGATACAAACGTGTTGGTTTGCCTTTTTTTTTTAAGTGACTAGAAAATTAATCTCTGTGCTCAAACAAAATAAACAAATTACCTAAAAGGTAGTATGTAGAATACCTAACTCATGTGTAGAGTCTCCTGTTATAACTTCAGGTGAGTATTTCTCTTTCTTGTCAGTATTTAGGTCTGGATGTTCCTGATTCTAGAAATGTGTTTGTCTGAGCCATATTGAAACTATCACAGTTGAGTGTTCCTTCCCCCTTCCACAGCTCTGAAAAAGTGGCATCTATCAATATTGCAGATAAGGAAATCAGAAAGCTTCAAATATGCCCTTTGAAAAATATCGGGAAGGTTTGTTCTGCAAGAACTTCCTAGGGCTTGAGAGGTCACAAATGGAATAGGAGGCAGTCGGTCCAAACTACCAAGAGCCCACAGCTGCTGCAAAGGTTGCCACTGCTCTCCAGCCAACTGCTGAAGCCTCAAGGTGGCCCCAGGAAACAGCAATCACCGTCTCTGCCCGGTTCTTCAATCCCTGAAACAAACTATGATGTGAAGGCTCCAGGACTGGAGACACCCAGGATCACTGAAGCACCGCAGCAGCTCAGAAATAGACTAGTATCTTTTACATGCTGTCCACCAGTAAGAATTAGGAACAGGAGTGGGGTACCATAAGCCCGTATCCACTAAACCAAGCTTTAAAAAAGTGCCTCTGGCAGAGCAGCAGCAGAGGATGACATAAGTTAAGGGGGGTTGTCATAGCACGAGTTTATGACAGATTGAAAAAAACCCATCTCTTAAAAAACCTCATAATTTTCTTTATTACCCAGTCAACCACTCCACACCTTTGCTTTGACAAACTACCAGGAATTCAACTTCTCTGTAACAGCAATTGTCACAATTAATGTTCATTCTCTCCATCTCATTTACTTTTCACATGACCTTTATAACTTATTGCTGTTTTCCCCCTTCCCGTCCCCTCTTCGGCTCCTCACAGATCTTTGAGAAACCAGAGCCCTGCTGTTATGAGCTGCTTCTCGTAACATAAAGGAGACAGTGTCACTTTTTTTTTTTTTTTAAATTATGATCAAAATAAAGAAAAACAGAAAGATTTAGACATGTTTTAGACAGTAACAAGCTTCAGGATAAAATCTGCTAGCACTATGGCAATGGTACAGAGAGAATAGCAAAGCATTGCTGTCTGGCTTCATACCTGGAACTGAACTCAATACGAGTTGCTGCAGATACCCAGCAGTATCTTGGGGAATATGGGACAACTATTAAGTTGTATACAGTACAAAAACACTTTCTACCACTGTCACTATCTTTAAATTCAAAATATTCTCCGTGTCTTCTCTCCAAGGCATTGCAATAAGCACTGGGTCATTCCATGCTTGCTTGAGGATTTTGGCAAATAGCTGTTAATAAGCCTGGAGGACATAAAAACATTTTAATGAGATCATCTACTTGGAAGGGGAAGGTAATCTGTAATATTGTTATTAAAGTGATGCTTTCACGATCCACTATAAAACCAAATCATTAATAAACTAGTTTTCCCTGTAATACCAAAACCCATTGATTTATTATTTGAATTTGGGACATAAGGAAGAAAAATGTCTTTGGTTACAAACAAGCTTTGTGTTTTCAAACCAGAGTGCGTTTCCCTCATTTTCACCATCTGCTTCAGGCATGACAGAGGTGGCTTATTATGCTGCTGTAGCTTAAGGGACACAGGGCAATATTTGTCCTGGCAGCACAGAGTCAACACTCACAGTAAAGATGATGCCTCTATCACACCTGCACATCAGAGAAACTCAAGAACACAAACATCCCAACCCTTGTATCTGCATTTTTGTCTTTAAAACCTCAGCCACTAAGATCTGAACAGCCAGGCATATCTGTTCCCAGACAAAAGACAACCCACACAATCCAGTTCAGTGGCAAGCCCCAGTGGACCAACAAGCACCACAAAGCTGCTCTCTCTGCAAGTATCAGCTCAGGACAGACTAAACAAATGGAGTATGTGGGAGTTGGGAATGATAACCTCTAGCCTTACCCGCGCTTCCTACTCTTGCAGTAGTTTTGAGGGAAGAAAACAGAGGAGGAGGAATGCAATACTGTTTGATGAGGAAGACGAAAATGACCACTGCTGTATCTATCTCAACACCTTCCAGCAACCTCAGTCGGATACAAAGCCAGACCCACAGCAACATGCAGGAGTGCCACAGCCTGTGCCTTCTCACCCTTGCATCAGTCCCTGGAGAAACTGTAGTGTTACTGCACCAGACCCCAAAGCTCCAGCACTGCCCATGCTCAACCCAAGGCTGGCTGACACAAGCCTCAAGCTGTCACACACAGACTCATGAGGTGGCCTCTGCCAGGCTGCCACCAGCAGGTACACCCCAGAGAAGAGGGCTGGGGGGCACACCAGGCTGCCGAGCTGGGAGGACCAGCCCTGCCACTCCAGTAACAAACCAAAGCTCCACTGCAGACACAAAAACTGGTGCTGCTTCATGCAATCTTTTTGACACCAACAGTAACTTTCACCACTGGTAAAAGAGGCATGAAGGCTTGCTCAATGTTTTGAAGAGGCTTCCTTTTGAAAGGACTCTTGTTGAAAGCCAAAGAAAATACACAAAAAAAGAGAAGGAAAAACCAGAAGACAAGCAAAGGTCAGTTAATCAGACACTAGAAAGAGGAATGGGCACTCTGCATCATCTTCCTTTTTAAGGAAGAGACTATAAATTGTTTCAATACCCTTTACCTGGAAAATGAATGTTAAAAATATTAACATCTAAAAATTACACAGAGCTTACTAGCAGCAAGTTATATAACAATAAAAAAATTACTTAAACCACCATTAAAATCTGCTGATTCTATCCAGGAAATTGTTAAGACGGTCCCAAGCAGCTCCCAAAACTAGGATCAACTGGTACAGCCGCAAACTAATTAAGCAGTACAAAATCCTGTTTCTCTCAAATGAACTATCAGTTTAGTACTCTTGGCCATCATAGGTTTGTTAGGAAAGTTAACGAACAAATCAAAACCTTTTGTTATTTCAGCAGGAGCAAAGGCATTCTTCACACCTGAGGAGTAACTTCTTAACAACAGGGAGCTCCAGCACATGAACAGAAAAATGCAGAAAAGTCAAAACTCTCATTAAATCTAATAAAGCATATCATGGAGCGTGTTACATGTTTAAGAACTTTCTTTGAATATTGTAATCACTGAAATACCAGCTCTTGACAGGACTGAATTGTTCAATATTATAACTTCATTTTGTGTTTCAGTGATATGCTTTGCTTCTGAAATCCAAGGACTCCAGGTAAACAACACTTACATACCTAAGTTTGTTGTTGGGTTTGAAAGTGAGTTAATGAATTAATATTTCAGAAATATTAATTTCTGGAAATAGCTAGAAAATAGCATCTAGTCACAGAAAACACAAAAGTATTTTAGACATCATACAGACCAGTGCCACACTTGTTCTTCGGTTATATCAATAACATTCAACATAAAAGTCTTCAATTGAACTTAGAAACTACACAACAGTCTTCTTCCTTATGTAAAAAAGTTATCTTTTACATACTATTGTTTTTGTTAGAGTCAGCGTAGAAAAACTTTAGAACTTGTGCAAGCCGTACATTATTTTACCCTACCACACATATAAGAAGCAGCATGGAAAAAAGAATTGCAAGGTAAAGGGTTTATACCTGCATGTAGAGACTCAGACCCTTGAGGGGAACGCAGATTTGTAAAATCCCACTACTGAAAAAGTATTCAGTGGTATTTGTTTGCAAACAAAAAGATCTGCGCAAATTGTGGGTCTAATAATGGAAAAAGTATAGACAGAAGAGGTAGGAAGCTCAAGCCACTACTGTAATACGAATAATTAAACTGCTGCAGAAATTCGAAACATACATTGTTCAACAGTGCTTATTTACAGGGTTGTTATTTAAAGGTCACTGACCCTTAAAATTAAGTGTATTTCACAAACCAATCTGTTTTTACAGGTCTTAATCCTACAAACACTGCTATCCTTGCCAACAGACTGCCGTACTAAGAACACACAATCTTTTATATATCAAGACTAACTTTATACTGTTTTTTCCGTTTAACTATAATAAGAGCATTGCTCACTTGATGACATTGTTAGCTTCAGCAAATTAGATGTGTGCTTGGTTAAAACATAGCCTTAATTCCTAAACCTAACATGTGGCTAAAAAAAGTTCCTAATGAACAAACATGGTGATGCAGAGCTGTTAAGAAAAATCTTAGAAGGTTTTGAAAACAAATAATATGACAACATCTTTCATGCTGTTTAATTTAGCTAAGAATTATGTAATTTTCTTCAGCATCAAATATTTCCCATGTTTCTGCATCTTACAAAAACAAGAAACCACGGGACTGTAAGAACAGCTCAATTAGTATGTTTTACAGAGACTTTGTTATCAAGAACATTAGTAACTAGAAGATCTCCAAATCATGAGCATTATCAATTTCAATAATATCTTCAGGTTCCATCTTTGCTTCATGATGCCCCTCCTGTAGATCATCCAGGGAAGCCAGAGCCTCATTTGTATCACTAGCGAAAGTCTCACGAGACGCATCATCATACTCTTGCAGGTTAAGCCCTTTAATGGCTTTTTTCATCTTCTTTCCTAGAACTTGAATTCTCCTCTTCTTAGCAGCTTTTTTGTTTTCATACTCCTTTTGGTTTTCCAGATAGAATATTTCCTTGAAAGAAAACAACAATAAAAACCAAAAGTTCGGCATATTCATTTACTAGTGTTTCCTAAAGACAACATAAAAGTTAAAAAAAAAATATTACAAATACTGTTCAATAATATTTAACTAATATACACATTATTGATAGGAAAAGTATGAAGAGATACTGCACTTAAGAAAAATGCTCTGTAGATAATTTTATTACATAATTTCTTAGCAATCTCAAAGTATATATAAATAAGTATCACTAAGTTTTCATTTCAACTTTGCTTTAGGATTAAGTGGTAGACCAGAGGGTCATTCTACCACACAGAGGGACCTGTAGAGAAACTGCAACCAAAGGTTCTCTAACAGCTTCAGAAAACTTTCCTCTCTAATTGTCATTTGAGTCTAGTCCCGTCATCTTTACTGTCAAACACTTGTGAACCCCAAAAACATCTAAACTGCAAAAGATCACTGTTGCAATTTCTGTCCGTATTTCAAGGGGGAGAGTATCATGTAGTGCTATATGCGTTTCTTTCCCTGCTTATTTTTAAAAAAACAAATTGTCCACAGAAAACATTAATGGTTTTATCTGGGCAAAAGCGCCCAGTCAAGTGCTGAGGACATGCAAATCTGTGAGAGCTGTGTATGTGACAACCTCCACAATGAGAAGATTACACACACTTTTCCCAGAGGTTTGTAGGAAAATGTCTTATACCATCAATCAGGTTCACTGAGTGAAAACTGCTGCATCATTGAACGCTTGCCAGTATCAGCAAGAGAAGAATGAGACATGCAATTACAAGGGCATGGAAGAGAGGCAGAAGAGCAATTTTTTGGAAGAGGGGCAAAAGAGCAAGTTTTTTTTTTTTTTTTTGTAATGGGGTAAAGTGATCAAACTTGCAAATTTGTGACCACTTTAAGGTATGAAAGGGTCTTTATTTGTTTTTAAACATAAAACAGACAATCACAATTTATGTTGATTTGTTTCTCAATTCCTAGTACAAGATTCTAGGATGGTTTACAGAGTGACCTGTAGTCACCTACAAGCAAAGTTAACTAGTCTTTCTTTTAACAAAACCTTCAATGAAGTGGCAAATACCATGAAAAAACCCAAGTTGTTTTAATTGCATGAAGAAAATACCATCTCAGTCTATTTCGTACCCTAAAAGGAAATGCAATATAGTATTTACAAAATGACAAACCTAATTTGATGAGCATCACAGATGGGGCCAGTGAGCAATTCAGATTAGTTTCAAACCAGTATCTGACTTAATGGGAAATATGGCCTGGTGCTACAGCTAGACAAAAGTATTCTATCAAGAGAACACCACTCAAGCCGTGCACAATGACGCAGAGCTCCAAGGGGACAAATATAAATGCAGATTACATTGCTGTAAGATATATACAAATTAAGTAAAATCCAATGTTTCTCTCGTCAGATTCTACAGTCTCATCATCCTCAACAGTGTTTTGTGACTGGCAATATGTAAAAGGTGTTCTCTCTGCCTAGTGTTGTCCTGGTTTGAGGGAAGACAACCATTTTCTGTTCAGCAATTTTACTTTGCAGTTAAGTCCCTTCTAATTAACTGAACTCTCTGAAATTAACAGCATATTGTGCAGAAACTGTTTGTTCCCAGAGAGATAAGACTTGATTGTCTCTATGCAAGGAATGGTATGCAGAGCAGCTCTTGCTTACACTTACTGCTGTAACAACCAAGGCCAGCTAATTCTTATTTGCTCCATTGGAAGGTTGGAAGCAGAACGGTGTAGAAGGGTCACGGCTGCAGGGAGGAGTGGACTGACCAACAGCATATTCCACCCCATCTGCATCGTGCTCAGCATAAAAGCTGAGAGATCAAAGGGGCCAGCTCTCTCTCTTCAACGGCCGGTGTCTGAGGAGGACTCTCTCCATTCATCTGCCTTTGATCCTGATCCATGCATTCCTGAATCCAGATTTGGAATCTCGTTCCCAGACTGGCCTCAGCAATGGATGGGACTTGCCCAGTGCCTGCCAGTCACGCGATCGTCATCCTTGGAGCTTGATGTGGTTTTGTATATATTTCATTATTTTCATTTTATTAACTATTCCAATAAACTATTTTTTCCCTAAACTCCTAAATCTCCTCTCTCTCCCTCCTCTCCTTGTAGAGAGAGGTGGAGAAGAGCATCTGACGTCTCAGCGGTCAGTTCAGCCCAAACCATAACAAGTATGAACAGCAGGCGATAACATTTTTGTGGGTTTTCTTACTTACATTTTGAATGTGAAAGGCTGGTTTCTTTGGAATATAAACTTGCTAGAGATTATGAGAGTGACAATCATAACATTTGTAGTAGGAAAAAAAAAATTTACTTCGGACATTTGTGCTCTTGAGAATTTTACCTTGATTTGCTCTTCTTTGATGCTAGGTGTGTTCTTCAGCAGGTTTAAATAAACGCCCCCTGGTGTTCTCCTCCTAGTTCCATTCTTAATAGGGAAAGAGTAAATTATTGATGGCAAGCTTAATATTAAAGTGCTGATATAAAAACAGTATTGAGACAGAATAAAAAACAAGTAAGTTCCACTGGGTTAGGTAAAGAAACGAAACACAAATAGTATTCTAACTACACTCACAACTATCTGCAATAACGTATATACTAGTTTAAATATTCAGAACACTCCTAACACATATGACCAGCAAAATGTAATACATGAACTTCACAAAACTACATAGACCTCATTTTTTTAAATTATGCTTAGCAGTTCTACAACTCATTCGCGTATCTGCAGGATTTTGCATTTCTACCTAAGGCATATAAAACACAACATGTATTTTAAAGTCTCTCTCCACTGAAGCATGAATGGACTCGGCTTCAAAGCCCCTGTAAATTATAAGTACTAATTATCACACTATTAATTGATTACCATTCATAGTATATCAAGTTGATCAGTTACTCCAGTGCTCTGATATTTATTAAATGTGATACTCTTCTGCTAAATAACAACATAAAATACAATCTAACTAAAAGTCAATTTATAAGCATGTTCTTGAAACAGCAGATGGACAAAATTCCAATCAAGAAAAACAGTATGCCTTTCAAAAGGTACTCTGATCTGCAGCCAAAGGAACCTGTGCCGCCAGGAGTTATGCCCTTTCATCTCCTTGGTAAACACATGTTAATAAATACTTTAATCTTTCAAGACAATAGAATGCTTCTAAGACAAGTTGCTAGCATTTTTTCGGGGGGAAAGGTGGTGGGGTTTGTTTGCATTGTTTCTTTTTAAATTTTTTCTCCCTCCTCTCTGCTTCCAATGATAGAACTTAAAAGATTTAAATTTATAAACGAATGCCTGAAATTCCCTTATACTGATTTGTACTAATGCACATTAGTACAATGTACACTATGTATGTACAAATTCCCTTCCACGTTATTTTATCTTCTGAACTTCTGCACTGAGGCTATTATTTAATAAAAACAAAAACAAGCCAAGAAATTGATAACATAACCATTAAGTATAGGTCTCTTCTCATACTTTCTTTTTTGTAACAGAAATCAGTACTCAGTTTTGCTCTACTGATACACAAGCCAATGGTTCTCTAATAAAGCCATTCGATTCCCTTTTGAACCCCACTCTTCAAACGTGACACTACAAATGCTCACTACTGAGTATGTTGACCTCTGATGTCACGCTAATTGACCCAGTAGAAAGGCCAGTGCTGTCAAGCATCTACAAGACTTACTGAAGAAATGTGCCAGAGGCTTCACCTGGAAGCTCTTCTTTACAAGCTTTTATTCAAGCTTCAGAATCCTCCAGTCTTAAAGATCTTTCGGTCAAGGAAAGATCCCAAGGGAAGGTGGAGTAACAGACACGCTGCTACCACTGCAAATCAGATACTTATCTCAGTACAAAAAGTTGGGCAATTTTCAGGTTTATTCATCTCGTTCTTTAGTCAGATCCAGCTCCAAGGTTACATTAGTTCCACAGGGAGGGAAGGCCATGAAACTCTGGAAGAACCTGTCTAACGTGAAAGCTGTGCAACAGCACTATCTAAATATTCTACATGTAAAAATATGTGTGGGCCCCCCACTCTGCAAACCCACAATATCACATTTTTCTTACCACTATGAACAGTCCACCATTTTGTTCCACTTCAGCTGTTTCCATAAGCAGTTCAATAGCTTTTCTTTTCCCAATTATTTTCACCACTCGGGCAATTAAATCTTTCTTTGGCTCACAAAGCCTGAGAGGAGATAAAAAAAAAGCGCATTTTTTGTCAATATCATTTCTCAAGTAAAACTGACCATGGAACTCCCATAACAAATAATTTTGTGGAATATAGAACTGTGCTAAAATTAAGTAGTCTAAACATTCAAGTGTTTCAATGACTTTTTGAATCAGATTTTAAAATACAGAGCTTCTGAGAGAGTTTACTCTAAAACATGCATTTAAAAAAATTGTTTCAATGAATATACACAGTGATTATTTTTCTTCTATCAATATGTGGAAGATTAAAACAAATAAGAAACTGCAGAGACCTGTATAAATCTCTGAAATTAAAGTATAAAAGTATATAAAGTATATTCTTTATAAAGAATAAAAGTATAAAAAGTATAAATGCACTGTTGTGCATTTAATAGTTAAAATTACATCACCTTTTACAGTTAAATCAACAATTATTTGGAGACAACAGTAAGTGTGAAAGTTCCCCCATAACATATGCCATTGTGCCACTCGGACAAACCTACACAATAAAAAAGAAATCAGTCTGTTGACTAATCTATGACAAAGCATGAAGTGTAAACAAGAAAAAAAAAATGCAGTATTTCTGAGTTACATTGCATTCTTTTGTTAGCATGCAGAATTTTTCACTGTCAGTCTGCAAGACGGGAGAGGCTTATGTAGCCCCCATTCAATTCAATCAATGTGCCAAAGTTCGTACTCCCACTGGAAAATACTGTAAGAGCACCAATCAGTACCACTTGTCCACAGCAAGAGTTCGTATGCTAAATTCTGATTTTCCAATGACCAAGCTTCTAATTAAGCACAGTCCCAACCAGTCCAGCTCACTGGGTTTATACTTTGGCGACCAAGAGACCACCATCATCAAAATTTCGTTAAGACCACTGTCTAGCCTAATTGCTTCAAGCAACATCACTATGCTACGTTACAGACGTTACAATGACTGCATAACAGAAGGTATTAACTATTTAGAACAACCAGGTTAGCTTCATCTGCTTCCATTTTATGGCTGAAGTTACCTGAAATTAAATGTTAAAACTCACATTTGAGTGACAATTGTCCTAATCATGAAAAGGATTATCCAATCTGCTTAATTTTTCACTTTATGCTTAATCTCACTGAGTTCAATGAATGATTAAGGTACCAGAAGGTAAAGGCCGTCCCAAATATTTATGGGATTGACTGCTAAATTGTGAATTATTGGAAGAGATGGAAGTGTTTCGCTAAGATGCAGAGAAGTTTACAATAACCAGGATTCCTTAGAGAGTTGGTTAAATAGACCTTCTGTTAGCAGCAGTGGCAGCTTAAACAGTCAAATCCCCACTCAGCGTTCATCCTGGTCCTGCACAATCCTCCTGCATGCATGCTTTAGCAGGCATCTCTGCACTGCAACAGGATCTGAACAAGACAAAGGGCAATAAATGGCACAAGATGGTCAGAAAAATTCTTTGATTTCAGTTCACTGTGTGGGCCAACACAACAAAAAGTTATGAATCCAGGCACAGATGGCACAGCACAGATCAAACAACAGTGCTGTCTGTGATGTGTACAACCACAATCCTACTGATGCAGTTCAGTGCCACTACTACTATAGACAAAAAAGGAGGCTTCTGCCCTATTTTGATGAAGCTCAATAAAACAAAGAAAAGTTTATTACAAGAGAAATGCTCAGAGTTTTCAAATTCATAAATGAGAAGCTACCAAAAACTGGTAAGAGCAGTAATTAATTGCCTAATTACTTATTTCTGCATCTGGTAATACTAAGTACCACATGTAAGAAATCAACAATGATCAATAAACCCAGGTTTTATTTAAACGTCAAGCTAACCATTAGTAAATCCTGTAACTCCCATTCCCTATTTAACCCTCCTTTTCTTCCCTTGCACCATGGAAAAAGGACTGTGGCAGTTTAAGTCAATCTAAGTCAAAACGACTACAGTCATGTGCCCTCCCTCACACCATGAGTCCAGGGCTGCCAGTGCCAGCTCAAGGGAAAGTGTGCCACAAATTGCTTCAGAAAACAAACGCGTCTGCAAACTAACTCTTTCAAAAAAGCAACAACTAAGTTTTCTGACTTGGCTCAGTCAGGAGCAGGAAAAGAATTGGATTGCAGCAAGCATGCATACAGCTGGAGCTCGGTAACCCCAACACTGGCTTCCATAAATTAGCACAGAACCACAGCTCAGTTTCACAACACAAAAAGAGGCAAGGCTCAATTTCAGTGCTGCTGTCTGGCCTTGGCACAGGCCTCAGTTACACCAGCAGCAAGATGTTTTCTTCAGGTAAGCACGTTCCACAGAAAGAATATGTCCATTTCAGAAGCTCTCCAAAGCACTACATAGTCCGAGTCATTTACAGTTTCAAGGATTTATAACTTAGCCAGATTTTCATGGTGACCACAGCAGGCATTCGTTGGTGTTCAACTCCTAACACGCATCTTTACTCATGCGGTTATTTCCTAAAAAAGCCACTACGAAATCTCTATCATGATAAACACTACTTTTCCTTGCCATTGCTCTGAAATAACAAACCATTTTGGTGGATTTTTTTTTAAATAATTAGACAGTGTTACTGCATGCTTCTAAAAGATATCAGCCATAACACTGCATTTTAATCCCAGGACTTTGGAAATACACACAAGGCACTCATGCTTTTTTTGTAATTTGGTGTGACATCTTACATATTTAGCAGTAAGAAAGCCTTCCCCTTACTCTTCCATCAACAGTTTACCACCACTTGCAGAAACTAAGATATGCTGATATTAAACTCACCGATAAGCAATTTCATCTGCCACTTTTTCCTCAGAATCTTCTTCTGTTATCTCATACCTTCCTTTATATTTCATTTCTTGTCTTTCACCCAGTCTATCTTTTACAGGCCGCTTCCGTTTGAGAAGGCCTTGCCCATTTTCTTCTTCTGCTGGCAGTGGTTTCTTGTCATCATGCATGTATTCATCCAGTTCTTTATCTAAAGTCTCTGCCTCCTTTTGCTGAGCTTCCTTCATCAGCTTTTTAGCCAATAAATAATTGTAAGTCTCAGACTGCCTGCTTCTGTCAATACTACCATCCATGCCTAGAATCCCAAGTTCAGTAGCCACTGCATCCTGATTCTGCTCCTGGAGCACCACACCCCAAATGTTGTTGACCTTCTTGCCACCTAGAGCAGTTTGTTTTTGGTGGCCTTGGCTAAGCTGAAAAGGCTCAGATTTAGCAGGAGAAAAGCTGAAACATTTCTGTCGTTTTCGTTTCCACAGACAGCTGTCATCATCAGATTCAGAAAAGCTTTCGTCACTCGAATCCACACTTTTGGTTGTCCGATAAGGAACACTTGGTGCACACGATGAAATGGCACTCTGGAATGGTCGGCCTGAATCATTGCCATCATGTGATTTCTGAAAAGAAACGGTAAATATCCATTAATTTAATTACTCTTGTAAATTAGAAGCGCTATTAAGTCACACCAAAGATTTGATCAGCTAGTAAACTTAACTCTGACTCATTTGACTGTTTAGGCTATCCTCTATGAGCATCTTTTGGACTGCAGTTGACTGGTGCATCCTATGAAACCTCTGCAATTTGAACATTTGTACACGAGAGACAGCATGGCAGCTGTAGATAACACTTATCAGGAATCACTAATCTACTTAATATCATCTTTGTTGAATGGAATTGAAATTATTACAAGAATAGAAAAGCTATTAAAATTCCCAAATTGAACAAACACACAACATGCACAGCAGTTCTAAGAGAAGTTTAAAAACCTAAACCACCATGGGAAATTACCAGAATTTTTTTTAAGCAGAAAAATTAACATCCTCTCCAGTCTGAAAGGGGTCGAGACTAGTTATGTGCAACCATAATAGTGTTCCCTGAGACTCAAGCGAGAAGAAAAAGTGACCAAAACCCCCTAAACTTGGATGCTGCTCAGACTTTGAGAAGCTAATAGTGTAATGTGAATATGGTTTGATCAGGACAGCACATGACCAGCTGAGGACAGTAATACCTTACAGAAGAACTGTGGTTTTCTTTCTTTAAACCAACAAGACACCACAGACTCACATGGCTTCTTACTAATTAGAACAAAAACATAAAGGTTTCAACATACTTTAAAACAAAAGTCCCATGGCTATAAACATATTCAAGAAATGCTGTTTTGTCCCATACACCTGCCAGGTAAGCTAAAATATGAAAGTCAAACCTGCTCAAATCTGCATAACCTGCAAAAGCACCATGTGTGACATAACCCAGAATTCTTATGCCCAAAGGCTGTAAACTTTTGGCCAGGCTGTCTGTGCTAATCTGCGGTAAGTGTTTTTCCTTACTCATAATTCCAGTTGTTCCCCACCTGAATTCCTATCATAGTGTTATACGCTATCCTATGATCTTTAAAAATAAGATCTCTTCCTTCAGTTTCAGGTGGAATAAAAATTCTTCCTCTAACCTTACTGCTTTCATCAACACTATGGCACCACTTTTTCTTCCTCCTATTAGCAAACAGAAAACAAAAGTCTTTCGACTTATTTTATCATGTTGCAAAATACAAACTTTTAATTTAAAATGTATTCCATAATGCAAAACACTAACGACTCCATAAATTAAAAAAAACCAAAACCAAACACAACCAAAACCACCAAAAAACCGAACCCACGTCTGTAATAATTTATTTTGTGCTACATATCCCGGAACTATATGGCAAACAAACCAAAATAAATAAAGAAAATAAAATTCCTTACACATGCAGCGTACGCTGATTTATCTTATTTTGAGATCTTTTTCCTGCCCACACACCACCGTAAGTTCCTCATTAAACTTCACCACGGAACACAACGTGTAAACAATGCGACACACTTGGAAACAAACATCTCTTCAGCAACCCGCGGACGCCAGTCCAGCCACGGGAAAGCAGCAATCGCCGCTCGCCGCCTCCGGGTGTTTTCCCAAGGGCCTGTTCCTACCGTTCTCGAAGGGACCGGCGGCACCGCTCGGCCCGCGCTCTCCTTCGCTCACCGACCCCACCGCCCACCAACAACAAAAGCCTCGCCCGCCTCCCCACAGCGTGCGGCTTCCCCACACGAACCGGCACCGGAGGAACACGCCGGCTGCCGGGCCCAGGGCAAGCAGTCGCTGCCGGGGAAGGGCCCCCGGGCCGCACCGGGGCCCCCTCCTCCCGCAGAAGCAGAACACCGCCCGTCCCTGGGGTCTGTGGATCCCTCCCGGGAGCGGGGCACCACAGGCGGCGGCGGCGGGGCCCCTGCCGCCCTCCGGCCGCCTTCTCCCGGCTGGGCCTGCCGCGGCCCGCCCGCCAGGAGCGGCGCGGCTCCAACTGGAGCCGGGGCCCGGCCGCCGGCCACCTCCCCTTTCTTCACCTGCTGCGGGTCCCCGGGAGAGCCGGCGCCGGGCATGTCGGAGTCTGAGTC